TTAAATCACTTTAAACTGCAGCGAAAGCTATTACTTTTATAGTTATAAAAGTATCAAAGGTAACCTCTCTGAGAACCTTCCCTTGTGTCTGTGTTATAGAGGTATCCACTAAATATAGGTTAATTTATTAAGAAATGTGGGAAGAATAGTATGCAACTGAATGATGCAAGTTTCAGCCAGTTGAGGGTTCTTGCATTTTTTATTGTGGTGCTAATGGTGTCTCAGTCAATTGCTAACTTAGTATTTAAGTACTAGTTGTGGTTGTTGATTATATCAGGGTTTGAGCTAGGATTTGACTATTTAGGGTCAATTTGTCCCTTCAGGTTATTTTTGGGGGGACATTTTCCATTTCTGAGGGTCGCTTAAGCATAGGGAAAATTTCAAACTGAACTAAAATTTTAAACATTTAATGAAATAGCAACAAGTTACATTGTAAGGTGGCATGCTTCTTTTTATCTTTCTCTGTAAACTCTTAACTGTATGATTCTCTTACAACCAGCAGCTGATCATGGCCACTAAAATAATTAAGAAAGTGACTATTTGTAAAAGAACAAGACCAACAACTCTGTTGTGCCATTATCATTTTAACAATATCATATTTGTTCTTGCTTCCACATTTCATTGCAGATCCTTCTTAGTTAATTAACATCTTACATGTACATTTATAATAGCAGTATTTCACGATTTCAAAATTCTCCTGTTCTTTGTAGCCCACTCTTCAAGGGCTAATGAAAAATCAAAGTCCACAGAAGGTGGCCCCTCGATGTCTATGGTCATAAGTACATCTAACCTGTTGGCTTTTAGTCTGTTTCTCAATGCATTTTTAATCCTGTTTTGGCAACTGAAGCCTCTCTCACAACAATTTCGGGGGAAAAAAGCCGCAATTTTGAACATTTTGTCAAAGTATCCAGAATTGGATGAAACACTACTAAAGTGGTTTTGGGAGAAGAAGAGTCAGGATAAGTCTAAAAGTCTTTTATTTTGAATCACAATTTTGTAGTTTAAAATAACAACGCTTTACTCAGCCGAGTTCTGTCAGATCGTGTTGCAATGTTTACACAAGCCGTAGGAATGACTGCTTCTGATTGGTCAGTTTCCGATGTTGTCAAAATGAGACAAAACAAACATCTAAATCTTGCTTTTCTTATCTTTCACAAAAATTGGTGTTAGCGTATTAATTCTGCGGCTAAAACCAAATTGTTTATTGAAAAATTGTGCCATTTATGGTCGAATTTATGTTGAATTTCAACTCTTGCAATTTTTTTTGGGGGCACAAATACTTCAGTAAAATTTGTCGCAAAAATCGCTCTCTTTTTTAGGGGACAAATTGACCCCTGAATCATTTTTGGACGGGACATTTTTAAATTTTATTGCGGGATTGGCGCAATGGCGCGGCCTGCCTCAAACCCTGATTATATGACTTTCCCTAAACGTTTTTTATCGGTGGAGCTAAAAGAAAAAGTTTGTGAGGCCATGCTTTAAAAACATGACAGGAATGCCTTAAAGCTTACTTAGATCTTTATGAAGATGGAGGGTTATTTTATTGGCAGTTACATGTAAAGATAGGTTGCCAGGGCCACTTACTAGGAGTAGATTTATAAGTTAAAAACACTACATTTGAGCTCAAATTTTACACAGACATTATTCAGGTATGATGGAAATTTAAAAGCACATTCTTGTCTCATTCATAAGCGATGCTACATACTCCACAGGTGTCAAATTTATTAAATTTTGTGTTCAAAATTACTGTTGGCCTTCATATTTTTAACATTATGTAAGATTTAACAATGAAGAAATGTAAAATGGTTTCCATGTTTACATAGCCTGATGTAAACATGCGGGAGGTTGGGAGAACACGAGATAAGCGTAGGAAACCACAACGCGAAGCGTAGTGGTTTCCAGCTTATCAAGTGTTCTCCCAACCTCCCAAGTGTTTTCATCAGGCTATGTAAACATGGAAACCATTTTATATTTCTTTTATAAAATAACTAATGAGAGAGCCTCTTCTTGCAACGAAGGAAAGCAACATGCTTGTTGTTGTTGTTTTTTCGGCCGTTTCTTGAATACTGGGAAAATTAAACTCCAAAGAAAAATTAGGAAAATCTTCTTCTTCTATTACTGTACTCAAAACAAACTTAAAGAAACTGAGTTACTGCTAAATAAATAGCAGGGAGAACTCCGCGAGAAGATTCAGTATGAAAACCATGTTTACATACGCTCATGTAAAATGGTTTTATGGCAAATCAGAGCGGGCGTACTATTTGAATTATTTTATAACATATAACATTGTTTTTAACAAACAATAAAACTTTTTGGTTTGATCTGAGCAATTAAAAACATTATTGTCTTGTTTCCAAGGTTTCCAAGGAAGGTTTCTTCACTTCATGCCTGGGTCCTTATGTACATTATTCTGTTTTACGGAAAATAACAGTTAACTCGAGCAGGAAAACTCCAATCAGCCTAGAGAGGCCAGAAAATAATTGTGCTTAGAAATAACAGTTACCTCCAGCTGGGAAACAAAAATGACAGAACAGCTTGCAGGGGCTGGAAAATACAAGTAAGTACTGTAAAAGAATATTTATTCCTTGCTGGTAATCTCAGAACAGCTGTGTGGGGCTGGAAATTAACAGTACTGGAATACAACAGTTAACTCCTGCTGAGAAACTGAGAACAGCTGAGAGGGGCTGGAAAATAACAGTGCTGGAATACAAGAGTTATCCACTGCTGGAATTCAGAAACAGGAAACTTTTGAATACTATCATGCTACAATACACTGAGCATGCAACAATATCTTTCATTGCCTCAACTCCAGTTACTTGTAGAAAGGTCATCTCTGAACCATTAAATAGGATCTGCTTTTATTACTAGTTATGTACAGTTTGCAATACATTAGTGAAAGAAAAAATCTTAACCCTTTAACCCCTAAGAGTGGCCAGCCTCTAATTTCTCCTTACAATATCATCCTTGAATCAAACATTAAGGTCACAAGAATCAAGGAAATGACCAACAACTTATAAAGCTCTTGATTTTTAAACAAATTCTCCTTGTCAACAGCTCAGGAAATGTATAGAGAATGGTACAGAGAATATGCCTATTGATTTTAGGGTATAAAGGTTTAATCAATAAATGTATGTTTAAGGTAGCAATCATAGATAGCTAGTACTTATTCACAAATACTATATTTTGTTTAGCAGATTGTAGCTTCAATGGATGCCAGAAATATGTTTATGAAAAACTAGCAGATACTGTTTTGTGCATTGTGCTGGTAAAGACAGCAGTGCAAGAATAGGTAAAGATGGAATCAAGAAATGAAAAACAGGAGTGAGTCCATTTAGTCCTGGAAAAACCATGGAAGAGGTTTCTGCTGGTTTTGGTGTTGCTTTTCCTGGTGAGTATGAATCAGGAGATTTTGAGGAGGATTATGACGATATGAATGATGATCTATTTGTTCTCCCCCCTCCTCTTTCACCATTAGACATTCAACTATTGGACAAAGACACAGAGCTGTCAAATGAAAACAATATTCAAGGTAGTTAATAATTATGTTGACCATTTTCACTCTTTGTCTCTTTGTTTTTGTAAGATGAGTCTTTTGCTACATTGTTCCATAATTATTTATCTCTATAAACCTTGTTTGTTTTTTGTTATTTGCTAATGAAAGCATTGTGTGCTTTTTTATAGCCAGTGAACCAGATGATGAAGATTTTGTCCTGTTTGAGCTCCTGAGTCAAGCCTCCCAAAGATACTTCTTATGAAGTATGCAGAATTTGTGAGTGATTTATAGTTTTCTTCTGTTTAGGTTTTATCTTACTTTATTATTGTTATTATTATTATTATTACTTAAATGTTCTTGTAAGTATGCTAAGTAGTTTAGGGGAATATCATTATTATTATCATTATTTTATACTATGTTGAGATGTTCTTGTAACATGCCTGAAGTAGTTTAGGGGATTATTATTATTATTATTATTACTATTATTACAATTATAATTACTATTGCTTTTGTTTTATGTGTCCTTTGATGACCAGTTTTGGCTGTTTTTTTATTGCCTTATGTCTGCAATAAATTTTAAGGGAAATTATTATAAATACATCTAATGATTGATGTTCCTTCTTTGATTGCTAAAAATTGCTTTAAATTTGTTTGGTGGGTTAACAGAAGGATAAGGTTGTTTTCATTGTCCCTTGAGTTAATTCATAGCATATTATCATTAACATACTGATACTCAAGGTTAGTGGTACTTCATTAGCAAAGAAGTCCAACCAACCCAATGAAAGTAGGCCAAATGTGCATTTTAATACCAATTTGGTAAAGACTGAGCCTTTCATCAGCTGAGTGTCATTAAAGTTTCTTTTCTAATGGAGACTGATTTTCTTCACAGATTCCAACCCTACAGATTCTCTATTTGAAAGAAGGAAGGAAGGAAGGTATTCCAAGGCCTTAACGCCATCACTGAGCAATATCTTTTCAAACTAAGGAAGGAAAAAGGGATAAATGTTCCAAGAGGGTGTTACCATGCAGTGATGACAACAGATGAAATGATAAATTTTGATTACTGGAGGCAGGTAAGGATGGATAGGTTGAGACAAAGATTTTTCATTACAAGTGGGATAGAGCCTTGGAATTTTGGACCAAGAGACCACAGATGTGGCAAGTATCTTAAAGCAAGTTGATAGTGATGGATGGGTCTTATTGAACATTACAGAACAGCATCATTATGGAATGTGGAGAGACTGGAAATGGAGGCAACTTGAGGAGAAAGACTTTTTGTAATTTTAAATAAAATCAGTAAAGGAAAGCTATTTGGCACAGTTTAATACTAATAATTAAACACCTAACAGGTGATGTGTTCACTCTAACAGTTTCAATTGGGTTTTGAAGCATGCTTAATTTAAGTTATATCCAAAATTCCCCTGCTCCAAATTGTGAATAGTACCTAGACATGACAAGAGAACATCAAGAGAGAATGTGACCTCTTAAGCATGTTCACATCAGACCCATGAATTTGTCCACAAAACCTCCTCGAAGCAGTGTATCTGAACCACTAAAGAGTTGTTCAAACAGTCGGCGGCCATCTTTGTCAGATGAAAAGGATGTTTTAGTTTTACAGGTGCTGAAAGGTTTTTTTCAATTTGTTTTTATCTCTAGGTTAGTTTGTTGAAGTTTTTCTCTGGTTCAAGTTTTTCTGTCCTGCTTTGTTTGATATTGAAAGAAAATGAGATTTTGGCTGTGGATGCAATAGATAAAAATCAAACTTTTGTACTTAGAAATGGCAACATTATGTGAATTACACTTGGTGTGTTTCTTTTCTTTGAGTACATCTGAGGTTTGATTCCACTATCACTCCATTCCCAGATGTGGATGCGACAGGTTGAGCTGGGTACTAGTCACTAGTCCACAATTATACAGTGTGGCCTTCAAAAGTCAACAAAAATCAGGGAGACTTACCTCTTTAACTCCCCACCTGATCCAGACTTAATTTCTCCTTACATTATCTAAACAATATCAAGCAGACAAGTGATGGAAATAAAGAAAAATATTAGTAAGGAGTTGGGATTATTAGTTGATCTGATACTAAATTCTCCAAACTAATATAAGAATGGTATGGCAGACAGTAAGAAAAATGACTGATGAGATCTTGGGAGTGAGTAGGTTGAAAAGGGGATTTCAAGTTGTGACAAGCAAGAGGAATTTATGACACATGTATCTGATACTGATGATTCATTGTATTTGACTCTTTTCTCTTCATTACCAGATAAAGAATCTTCAAACAGAAGTAGCATCTCTGAAGAGAGAAGATATTGAGACGCCCAAAGCAATCACGGCTGATTTAGAAGAACTTAGAAGTATGTGTTGTTTTGTTGAGATTTACCATCAACAAGTTAATTGCAATTGTGGAAACACAATTTTTTAGACTGCAAGTAGTCTTCATTGCATTTTTGACAGGGTTATTTTTCCAGTTTCCATTGTTCTGTTGTTTTGATAACATTTGAACCAGGCCAGCAGGGTTTAGCTCTTCTCATAGCAGCTTTCGGCTGTAGCTTGAAAAATTGGTAGTGCATAGGCACCTGTAAAGTAATTTTGCTGGAGATCTGTGAAAATTTGATCCTTGCCAAAAAAAATTATCCTGTCCTGGGGACTCGTGTAACAAGAAGAGCATGTCCTTCTCTCAGAACATCTCTCTCCCGCCTTTCTTTTTCATACGGTTGTTCTTCAAGATTTGCTAGGATTGTGGGTTCCACCTGTGTATCAGTACGCTTAAAAGGGAAAGAAAATTCATACGTTTCCTCAGGGCTAGATAGTCAGTTTCTTATGTACGTGTTGCAAAAGCAAGGTTTTCTCGTGTTGGGGAAAGGCTTAGCTTTTCCCATATGCATGAACCAAACTGCAATGTTATGTCTTGTCGAACAAATTCTGTGACAGTGACACCGAAATAATCTCCTACCTCTTCTTGTTGTGTTCTTGTGTTGCCATAAATGATAGCTTCATGGTTAAGTTAAAACTCATTTCACTTACATGCACAGGTGAATTAACGCGTAACGCAGTAATACATAACGAATGCATTTATGGATGCAAACTAACGTAAGTTAACGAACGATAAAAGTGACGGCCTAGTCGCGTCCTAATCATGTGATTGTAACGTCTACTAATTGCTGAGTAAAATTTGTAACAGTTTCATCACTAATCTCATTCCTCGTCTTACTTACCACTTGAATTAACACGTTATTAAAACATGCGTTGCGTTAAATGACTTAAGGTAAATTAGATTCATTCAAAACAGACGCTGTCTCGCTGAAGTTGAAGGTGCTTGCCCGGTGGTATCAGGGCGCTCCACTGCAGCGAGCCAGCCCTCAGATTGAATATCACCCTCATGGTTGGCAAATCTCCGCAACCCAGCTATGAGTAAGCTTCCCCAACGCCTGTCAACCCTGCTTAGATCAATGAAGGGAATAAGTAAAGGGGGTTGGGTGGGGAAGCGATTGTAAAAAAGTTACGAAAGTGCCCGGGATCGCTGGAAGAGCGGCCTTTGCCAAATTTCTCGACGGCTCAACGATGTCAGCGGTAACACACTTGCAGCGTTCCACGTAAGCTTGCACCTGTGACAATGACTGCTGACCGGAAAGGCCCGCTTTGCCTTGTGAAATTGCCGTTGAACGTATTCCAACTTGTATTTAGGTACAAAGTGTCAGTATTTTACAAATTATTATGCTATCTTTCCCTTTCCTTCCAGGAGAATTTAGTAGGCAAATAAATGATTTCAAAATAAAGCTGCAAAAAGCAGAGCAGGACAATGCGCGGCTTGAAGGACTTGTAAGTAAAACTGAATGGCTGAAATAGCTTAAACTCATCTCCATGCCACTTGTCAATCAGTCAGTCATTTGAAAGAAGAGAGTATTGGACAAAACGCTTACTAAGTCGAATTCATTTATCGAAATTCTTGTCTTATCCTCACAAGTGACACTGAGCCTATTTCAAACTCTTACATAGGAATACGCCAGAAGAAGAGAAGGTTGTGTGACGAGTGCAAGAAGTTCTCTAAGGGATAAACTTTCTAGTTTAAGTAGTGCCTGTGAAAATATAAGACAGGGTTCAGGGGGTTTTTTTTAAGGTTTTAAATAGCCGGAGCTTTTTTAAAGGTTACCGGCTGTGGGTCCGGAGTGGTCTCGAAACTGCTCTTTCCCAGTTTCCTGCTCGCATAATTATGTATTTATATCTCGAAATCCAATATGGCGGACAAAACGTCATATCGTTCGTACTTTCCTGCCACCGCAGCAAGATTTGTCAAAAAGACAGTCCCCATCAGAACGTTTTTAAACTAACCTTGGGTCAGAAGTCTTTTTATGTTTTCAGAAAAGATAGGCAGTGCAAATTTATATTTTTATTGAGCCCAAGTTTAGACCTGATAAACATCATCACTGTACGGGCTCTCGAAGCAATGAAAGTAGCCGACGAAACCTTGCAGAGAAGCCGGCGTACTTCGCCGGCTGCCGGCTCTTATCTACAACCCTGGGGTTACATTCAAACGTTCGTATAAAGTTGATATTCAGCAACCGCCCCTAGCCGCTTTAGGGACTTCGTCGCAGCGTTGCGGCGATGCATAATTTTTGGTTTCTTTTAAATGAGTTTTAAACCGAGCAAACAACCCTCGTTAGCGGGATTCTTGGAGGCTGTTGTCGAATTTCAACTGAAGAATAGAAAAGCAAGTGATATTAATGGTAATTTGTCGTAATGTTGAATGGACAGGTCTGTAAACTGCCTTAAATTGGAGTTGTTGAATGTACCTAGTACATGTTAAGTGATCAAGTTAAACCCCCGAACGTACCCTAATATACCTGCTTACTGGATGCGTAGGGGGAACAAATACCTTCCTTCTTTGCAAGAGAACTTGAAGATTTCTGACCGAAGGAGTTTAGTGCTAACTGTTACAAATTGTTAATCAGCCAAAAGCGGAACTTAAGTCACTAAAACTACGAGAAATCTAACTCATGCAATTGTCCAAAACAACACTTCTCCCTTGGTACGTAATTTCTTTCACTATCTCAGTGATTTTACAATGATTTCTGCAGGCCCAAGGCAAAACGGCAATAAGTGGTCATTTCGCTTTCTGTCGCAGAGAAGTGTTGCGTGACAGACATTGCGTGAGTTTCTTCTGTGTTCTTCTTTACCGTCCATTATTGACTCGAATGTGAAATCTGCTCTAGGTGGCGAGACTGGAAAGTCAAGTGAAGCGTTACAAGACTCAGGCGGAGGCCGCGGTGAGAACTCTATCTTAAGTTCTAAGATGTCAGTTTACCCATAGTGCCGTTCTTGTAGTTTCTTATTTTCTTTTTTTATCTGATTCCTCAAGTTTACAATTTCAAAACTTCTGTTTCTCACAGGAAGCGACGGAGGATTCTCTTAAAGCTGAAAAAAGAAAGTTGCAAAGAGAGGTTTGTGTTAATGCATGTTTCTAGATTGTTTTCTAGCTCGTTACTCACCCTCCGCTCCCCCTTTCCCTCTTCCCCTCCCCCTCTCTCTTTCCCCTCCCCCTCCCCCGACTCCATAGTGCTAATTCTGAAAGATTACCACTTTGAAATCAGAAGTTCTGGGGGTCGAATCTTCACGGGGGACGCGAAAGTGTTTTGTGTCCCAAGCTCCTGACAAATATTCTTGGAATTACAGAGACGTAGAAACTTCACGTAATGCCCTTTTTGTTGTTGTTGTTGTTGTTGTTGTTATTGATGTTGTTGTTGTTGTTTGCGTTGTGGCAAGTTTTCGTTGCTCTTATTCTATTTCTCTCCCTTTTTATTGCAGCTTCGTAAAGCTCAAGATGAAATAGGCGAATTACAGACCGTTAACGATCACCTTCAGAAGAGATTCGATAAACTAAAGAGCAAAAGAAAAGATGACACGTAGTGCATGTAGATATAGTTTTGTTACTAATTCAGGGAACATTTGTATGTCGAATTCAATGAACAGAACCGACATATCCAGTTTGATCTGAGGCGAACAGGCCTGTTTGTGCAATAAAACAACGTCGGTCGTTATCACTTCCCGATGAGTTTTGCCGTCATTAACTGTCACTGTCATTGTTATAGTTTGTCTGATTGGCTGGAAATAGTTAACAAAGTGCCTCAGAAGGTTAACAAAATAGCAGAGACAGTGATTGATGAAAAATGACACCTGAGAGTACCATAGAAGATAATTTTATATGCGCGAGGTTATTTTATATTTTCCAACGTGAGATAGACGCATTTTCGTAAGGGAATGTTTAATAACTCGAGGGAATGGTGTGGAAAACGTAATGCCGTTTGTGGCTTGCTTACTTATGGCTTGCAGACCATATTAGTAGATATGAAGCTATTTTTCCACAAATAGTTTCCTTTCAGTTAAATAGGAACACATAATGCCTTTTGAACTGGCTTTAACAGCATTTTGATCGCTTTCAATGCGCAGTAGTCAATAAACCTGGTATTCAAGCCAAAGTACGGAGTGGAAATTATTTTTACAGGAAAAAAATTGTTGTTTACTTAGTGATTAGTAATTGTTAATGAAGGGAAATGTAAAGGTTTTCTGAGTGTAACCGTTTTGCTTCTAGGAATTTTTAACACGTAGTTTTCTTCGACAGAATCAATACATTGTTTCATTGCTGAGCAACAGGAGACGAAAATGCACAAACTTATCGGCTGGAACTGCACTTGATATGACACCAAATTCTCTTAGCTAATTGAAATGAAATGATTCGCGACTAGCGGGGAGTAATGCTCAAATGATAGAGGAAGTGGAAGGTTTCAACAACTCCGAGAGGAATTTTGTGTAGTTGAAACGTCCTCTACAAGATTTATCGGAACGCGCCCTTTTTTCGGGGGGGGGGGGGGGGGGGATTTTAGAGGTATGTCTGGTCGGTCTTTAAGGCGTTTCCTCTCTCTCTCTCTCTCTCTCTCTCTCTCTCTCTCTCTCTCTCTCTCTCTCTCTCTCTCTCTCTCTCTCTCTCTCTCTCTCTCTCTCTCTCTCAAAAAATAACTAGTTTACCCCGACATCCCTCCAATACTTGTTATTCATTTCAGTGGTAATTATTAGCCGTAAGTGCAGCAAGAATGGCGCTAAAAAGAGCCTGATTAGCATATTGCATCATCCAAGTTGATGACGGTTGGAGTCCATTGAGCATATCTGTATTTGTGTGCCATTTCGAATTGTCTGAATATTAACTAAGCGATCGGTTTTCAAAGTCCCGAAATTTTTAACCCCAAGTTCAATAATTTTCACTTCTGTTAAGCGGTTGTGGTCATGTTTGACCGAGCCCCAACGGCCTGTTTGTATTGTCTTCCACCTGTATTGAACGGTCACTTACAGTGGAACCACACAAATAAAACTAAGAATAATCTTTCGAGTAAAAAAGATCCCATGTTTGTCTCCGAAAATCAATTTCAGAACTTTGAGTTCTAATATCCTTAATACTTTGCAGATTATCTTTGGACTGTTGGGACAAATACGCACGAACATCACGCCAATCATTCGCTGATCAACCTGTATTAAGCGGTTTCTCTTTGGGTGACCGCTGAAGACAGGTTCGAAGGTAGTACCCTCGGAAAAGTGGTCCTCATCCAATATTCCATACTGATGACTTATTTAATTATTCATCGCCATTCATGTTTGACCTTCAAGGCATCATTTCAAAGTATTTAGAATGTCAAGTAAAACCGAGAATGTGATAAAGAACAAAAGCACGAGTGCCAAGATCTGTCCATTTTTTTTAATGCAGGGTTTTTACAGCCTTTCGTGTATTAATCAAACGCATGAGTTTATCTCCCTCAAAAGAGGACTTCCCCAGACATGGTCATCTTTACTTATATACATTCTGTTTTAAAATCTTAGCATATTAACAAACTGATCCTATTTCTCCGTTCCTTCATGGCTTATGGCTTATGCTTTATTCTTTCAATAGAAGTTTTATTTTAAGGAGCGGTTATCTTTTTCTTCACATATTTTGGTTACAAATTTCACCAACTACATGATCATATTACTTTAATGGAATCGTTCACTTGTTAACTATTCTTTACAACTAGCACTTTTGGGTTAACTGGGCTAGAGAACTCTTTGGCAAGCAGTTCCCATGGTTCGGTTACAACGGATATCGTTCCAACGCTGTTCCTTAGATGTCGAGGAAAGACCGTACATGTGACCACATGGCTCAGAAGCATTTCCATTCGGCTCACCTGGAGCCCAATTCTTGTAAACTGGAACTGAATGGTCATACCAGTAGAAATCATTCGCTGTTGAGTTCCACTTCAGCCCAATCCAATATTTCACAGACGGAGCTTGCCTTGTTGCGAGGTCCCAGACGAACTTGTTCTCTTCGGCGCTGTTAATCTTCACCAGTTCCCCTTTGAGGCCGCGGCAGAACGTTTGAGCTTGGAGCCAAGTCGTAGCAAAGTCATTGAATAAGTAACAGTTATTTTTGAACAAATTCCATCCTGTTGGACAGACTAAAAACGATTTGAACATTTAGTAAAAATCAACAAGTTGGTAGGGAACGTCTTTTATACGTGAAAACCTGTAAATGTCTTAACATTTATGAAAAATAAATAGTTCCCTGTCTCCCCGAAGGCCAAAGAACCAATTCGTGACATATCAAACTCATGGGGTACAAATAGTCTTAATATGAATATAGTGACCACGCCCACTTCAACGCCCCACTCAAATCGAGTGTAATTTTCGAATGTTTTACCATCGTGCGGATTCTCTACGGAAAAAGCATTCAATGTACTTCTGAAATATTAAACTACAATATTGTGGCTTTCTATTTCGCTAATTTTCTAACTTGAAGGTAAAGTTTTTCCCTCGTCATTTTTACCTTTTCTCCGAGCGGTTGCGTGAAATTAACAAGAAGTTTTTGATCAAAACACGACCGAGCGAAGGGTCTCGGGCGATATCTCTTTTATACAGGCGCAAATTAAAAATGTACCGCCAGAATCAAAAAGAGGAACAAATTTCCTTTGTTTTGATATGTAAAGTGTCGAACAAAAAGCAGATTTACCCTCGTCAAATGGCCTTTCAAAACGGCTGTATCTTCCTCCTTTTGATTTTTTCTTGTTTTGTAAGCGTGAAAGCAGTAGGAGAGGGATCGGGAAACTAAAAAAAGCGCTTTGGGAATTAATCTGCCATCGTTTACTTACGAGATAAACAAGTAAGAGTTGTGAAGTTCGTCGAAGTATGAAGTCTAAATAAATGCCTTTTTTAAGCTTGTTTGCTGGATTTTTCGTAAACTTCCCCGATTAATTTTTCGTTTCAGCTTACTAATCTATACTATTTCAAAGACGAAGACGGAGAACCATGAGTCAGTCCTTTCAACAATCGTAAACAAAGTGTTTGAGCAATCAGGTATACGAGGTGTAATAATCAATAGCCGCATATCAGAAGTCTTTAGAAAGAAAGTATTCTGTCCTCAGAAAGCTGTCAAGAAAGGTAGTAACCGTGGCGGAAGGCAATCAAATGCACTTCTTAGCAAGTTGGAAACGGGCCCTCGGTATCGATTTAATATCATATCGATCTCAATATCATACAGTTTTGAATTTTTCTTCCGTGAATTCGCCTTTCTAACAGGGGTGTATGTTGAGTTTTCATTGCAAAATGGCTTTGTTTTTTTTATTTCCCTCTTTGGCCTGTCCGCCATTTTAAAAATTCGCAACGGAGAGCATGCACATTACGTGGGGTTAGTGGTCGCGTACACCTGGAACCGAGAAAAACAAATGTTCGTCGCGCTGGGGAAAGAGTTTGATATGCGGCAGGAGGCTCCATAGGGTTTTTTGACGGCACGAGATCTGGGTGCAAAGATGGCATAAGCTTTACAAGGCACTATGCAAAACAAACATGGTGGCACGATACGCACGATTGTTATCTGAAAGGGTGTGCTAAAAACAGTTTAACTCATTGCAGTTTTTATGTGATGGAATCTAGGGTTTCCAGCAACTGCACCTGTAATATTCCTAGGCCCAAAAGGAAAGCACCGTGGGAAAGATTGCCAAAAGGCGATGGATTCGATAGTTTACCCATGCAGTCAGGTATAGATCTTGGTGAAATCCTATTCCATAACTTAATGTTTTGCGACGAACTTGAAAATAGGGATCTTTCGAGCAAGATTTATAGCGTTTCCTTTAGTGGAATTTCCTAAGATTTGCTGGACCGTTAAACAAATTTGTGCCCTTCCTAGTGCCTGTTGATAAAAAAATTCATAAGGCCAAATTTGAGATAGAGGAAGTAAACAAAAAATTACAAATAGCCAGGAAACTTCCTCTGTAACCCCTATTTTTTCGGCTTTTAAATGATCGGGAGGACAAATTTCACAAATTGAGAAAATTTTGAGAGATTTCACCGTAGCAAATTGAAGAAAATCAAAGGCAAAGCCAAACAGTATCGTTGATGAGCGTCGCCTAAAACAAACGACCGTGCGAACCTGGCTCATCGCCTTTTTTATGGCTTTAAATGACCTTGAAAAGCAAAAACAAAACATATTCTAGAAAAAACATTACGCTGGCGCGCGCTAACATTGAGCAAAAACCCTTTTTTCTTGATTGAATAGCATTTTGAGTTGCGCCCACAGCTAGCAGGTTCCTCAAACGGAAATAAAAAAACTCCCTTTTTAAATAAAATAATTGAAATGAAAAGAGACCAAACTTAGGATAAATTGATAACTGTACTCACATTTTTCACAATGTTTCCCCTTGTAGCCTAAATGGCATTGACCTCTCCTTGTTTTTCCCCTGCGCCGGAGGGAGACATCAATGCACGGGATCTAGAGTCATAAATGAACGAGTCAAAAAACTGTTTCATAGGTAGACTATGCAATGATGTTTCGATAAGCTTTATCACGTTTTTTTTCTTTTACCGAAATAAATTTCAGGCCCCTTGTAGTCTTTTCGATGCGATGCGCTCTTATCACTTTCTATATGTTTCCAAATAGTTGATCTCTCAGCCATCTCAAAACTTCAAGAATTCGGTTTTCTTAATATCGTGGAATTCTTAAGTTCACATGCTCTTTGCGTTTGGCGTTAGTTGAAGTAAGGGATCAGCACTGGACTAACATAATTCCTATGGGCACTCCAGATCTAAGTTACTGACTCTAACAAGCTTTTGTTGTACTGACTTGAGGCCGAAATGTAAACAGGCAAACCAACCTGTAAGGAACCATAGTATATAGATCCTTTTTCCTGTTTGAAATCATTTGGTTTCAGCTGCCGTGAACTGTTGTTCATCTCACAGACGCGGTACTTCGTTTTGTTTCCAGGTCGGATAGTGAATGACATGCAGTTCTTGTTATCACTTCCGAGGCATTGCAGTGGGCATTCAAAGTCGTGAGAAACATTAATGGTACGCAAGACATGTCCAGTTAAAACACGATCTAAAATGCAACGAGAAAGAACTGTCGTAAAGTGAAAAATAATAGAACAGAAACAAAATTGGAAATGACGCGTTTTCTATCATGCTTACCAGCTTGAGCTTCGAATATGCTCTCGCAAAATTCTCTGTTTCCCTTCGAATATGCATTTACCAGAAAACTTTGGAGAATCACAATGATGCCGTGAAACTTTTTTGGGGTCAAAACAGCCATTAGAAAATATCCACTTGTTTCTCTTTCGAATTTCAGACTAACTGATTCAAAACTTGTCGTAGATGCCCTGACGGCTGTGACGTCTCATTTTTTATTCATGCGAATTTTAAAAGTCGGGGGTGATTCTCAACAGGGAGAGGTTATTTAATGGGTTTTTCCGTGTTTACATAGCTTCGTTTAATTTCGAGTGGTTTTTGGAGAATACATCACAGGTTATTGAATTCAAGCCGCATTTGATGGTTTGTACAACTTTTGAGATTTTCTCAACTTCCAGGGTGCTTAGACGAGGCCATGTACTAAACTCGAAAAAAGTCCTGCGTTGCAAACTTCAGATATTTCTTAAAAATAAGCGCAAATCTAAAACGTTTTGAGTTTACGCAGTCCAGTGTAAATTAATACATTTCTCGACTGATGAAAATGCGCACACTTTCTTAAATAATTTATCCAATTTAGCACACATAATTCCTCAGACTAACCTGTTGTATACATAAGAGGCGTACTTAAAAATTAGGCGTATTAGGCGTACTTAAAAATCCGTTTGAGGAACCTGCTAGCTGTGGGCGCAACTCAAAATGCTATTCAATCAAGAAAAAAGGGTTTTTGCTCAATGTTAGCGCGCGCGCCAGCGTAATGTTTTTTCTAGAATATGTTTTGTTTTTGCTTTTCAAGGTCATTTAAAGCCATAAAAAAGGCGATGAGCCAGGTTCGCACCATCGTTTGTTTTAGGCGACGCTCATCAACGATACTGTTTGGCTTTGCCTTTGATTTTCTTCAATTTGCTACGGTGAAATCTCTCAAAATTTTCACAATTTGTGAAATTTGTCCTCCCGATCATTTAAAAGCCGAAAAAATAGGGGTTACAGAGGAAGTTTCCTGGCTATTTGTAATTTTTTGTTTACTTCCTCTATCTCAAATTTGGCCTTATGAATTTTTTTATCAACAGGCACTAGGAAGGGCACAAATTTGTTTAACGGTCCAGCAAATCTTAGGAAATTCCACTAAAGGAAACGCTATAAATCTTGCTCGAAAGATCCCTATTTTCAAGTTCGTCGCAAAACATTAAGTTATGGAATAGGATTTCACCAAGATCTATACCTGACTGCATGGGTAAACTATCGAATCCATCGCCTTTTGGCAATCTTTCCCACGGTGCTTTCCTTTTGGGCCTAGGAATATTACAGGTGCAGTTGCTGGAAACCCTAGATTCCATCACATAAAAACTGCAATGAGTTAAACTGTTTTTAGCACACCCTTTCAGATAACAATCGTGCGTATCGTGCCACCATGTTTTGCATAGTGCCTTGTAAAGCTTATGCCATCTTTGCACCCAGATCTCGTGCCGTCAAAAAACCCTATGGAGCCTCATGCCGGTCACGAATTGGTTCTTTGGCCTTCGGGGAGACAGGGAACTATTTATTTTTCATAAATGTTAAGACATTTACAGGTTTTCACGTATAAAAGACGTTCCCTACCAACTTGTTAATTTTTACTAAATGTTCAAATCGTTTTTAGTCTGTCCAACAGGATGGAATTTGTTCAAAAATAACTGTTACTTATTCAATGACTCTGATATGACTTGGCTCCAAGCTCAAATGTTCTGCCGCGGCCTCAAAGGGGAACTGGTGAAGATTAACAGCGCCGAAGAGAACAAGTTCGTCTGGGACCTCGCAACAAGGCAAGCTCCGTCTGTGAACTATATTCGGATTGGGCTGAAGTGGAACTCAACAGCGAATGATTTCTACTGGTATGACCATTCAGTTCCAGTTTACAAGAATTGGGCTCCAGGTGAGCCGAATGGAAAGGTTTCTGAGCAATGTGCTCACATGTACGGTCGTTCCACGCCCGAAAAGCATTGGAACGATTTCCCTTGTGACCGACGCATGGGAGCTGCTTGCCA